AACACAAACTCTTTTTTGTGCTCGAATTATAAATGAGGCAAACAAGAACAAATATTTGTGTGTCCATGTTCGGCTCGAAATACTATATATATATAGATTGGATTGGGCCGCCTGCAAAAACAATGTTACTTTTTATATAAACAATAAGATTTAAATATTGCCCCAACCCTTAGCATTCTACGACTGCATTGCTAAGGTTGTCAAAATGATTCTTTGTTCGTGAATGGCTTGAGTTTGGCTCACTAAGCAAAAGAGCTGAGCACACACACATTTTTTGTGTTTGAAATATAAACGAGTTGAAAAAGAACATTGATATTTTTTAAAGAGTCCAACAATAGCGAGTCACTCGTGTTCGTTTATACTCGTTCACCGCCCTAGCAGGGGCAGAACCACTCTCCTTTCGTAGAGCGGGACAAATTACTCCCCTAGATATTTTAAGATTGACAAAACTAATATTTCTAGAGGGCCAAAAGATCAAATTGTCCTTACATACAAGTAAAAATCTGAATTTAAGACGGCAGTTGCCTCTATGAACACTACATGAGTACGCCCTGATTTAATGAGTTAATTAAATAAATTTAATCTTATAGAGGAGCTTTACAAGCTGACAAAATTCAATTGGCATGTTTTCAATTTCTTTTATAATTTGCAAATTATAACTTAGCAGCACAATTAAAAGTGAATGAAAGCGATATTTATATAATTTTAAGGACATTTCCGCATAACATTCCAATTTTTATTTTAAATTTCCTGTATTAACTCGCAGTTGACTTTGTCTCATAAGAAATTAGTTTACTTTAAAGTATTAAACATATTAATTAATCAGTTCATATTTTCCCGACGTAGACATTCGATTTTAAAATCAGGGTCTGATAGCTTCTAAGGAAATTATTGTTTGTTTAATATTTTATAAATAGACGCGTACATTAAATGAATGTTTATGATGGAGAATATAAAGTTTTCATGATTGACAAAATTGGATTGGATTGGGCCGCCTGCAAAAACAATGTTACTTGTTAGCTTTGAACTATTTCCCACACGAATATGATGGAAAGCAGACATAAATAACCTAATTTACTCATTTTATGCGCCTAAATTTTATTCATTCTCTTCGCACTCTCCCCTTTCCCTCTTCCTCACGGTTTCGCATTCCCGAACGAACCTTCAGAATACAATCGCCATAAGAGCTAGCCGGGAAGGTAACGACAGTGGCATTTTATAGAGACCATTGAAACTCTAGTACTTCTCATCCTTCCTTTCAGTTCCAATCAGAAAATATTGAGGAAGATAATTCTATTGGAACCAATATTTTTCATTGTAATTTTTGAAAAGTGAAATGAGCCTTTTGGTATAGGTAATGTGGTGTGCATCTACAAATTGAAGTTTAGGTGTTAGGTTTGTAAATACATAAGAATTTAGTGATATGTATGTTAATTTTAGCATAGGTTATGTGGTATGTAAGTATAAATTGAAGGTTTGGTATTAGGCATGTACATACATAATGGTTTAGTGGTATGCATGTAAATATTGCAATTTAGGTGTTAGGTTTGTACTTACTATTATGAAATCTATATACCAGATCAGTTGATGTGGTATATATATAAATCAAACAGAAGAACGATCGACGAAACAAAAAATAGAACAAGAAAAATCACACTAGAAAATAACATACAGATTTACATGGTTCGACAAATTGCCTACGTTCATGGAGTTGCAGAGGATTTTACTACTTGAGAAATTTACACCAGTCGATCACCTCGACTTACAAGAGGAATCTCTCACTCTTCGTTGTTCTCTCTGTTCTTCTCTCTCTACATCGAGATACACCGAAGACAATTTCTCTTCTGCCACAAGCCACCACGAAGAAGCCTAGGGAGAACAATCTTCTTCTTCTTCCTTCTTCTTCCTTCTGCCGCAAGGAACAACCTCTTGCACTTCTCTTCCCCTACCCCGAGGAAAACTTCCTCTATCCTGAGGAAACCGAAGAAAAACTCAAACCGTGACTTCAAAACCCAAGGAGAGTCATCCGAAGCTTTTATCACGAACAGGAGGGAACGAAGAGATGCTTCACTTCCACAAAAGAGGAAAGCGGGAGTAGTTATTTGTGAAGAGGTGTAACTCTTCAAAGCAAAGTAACCGCCCAAGCATAATGGACCGGGATCCACCGTTTCTAACACATACGTAATATTTGAGTTATATGTATTAATTATATGCATATGTAATGTGGTGTATATGTATAAATTGAAGTTTTGGTGTTAGCTAGGTATGTGTATACATAAGAGTTCAATGGTATGTATGTAAAAAATTGAAGTTTAGGTGTTATGTGTATGCATACATAAGAACTGAGTGATATGTATGAAATTCATATATTAATAGAATTCACGTTAATTGGTAGAAATGTTACAGGTTTGCGTTGGATTTGTGTCCATTTTTCGACGCAAAATATGATGTTAAATCGAAAATAATATTCCATCATTCATCGATATTTTCCGCCACAAAGTCGATGATAATCCGACGCTATTATTCGTCTTCCCATATTTTTGGATGTAAAGTTTGACGCACCTTTCGAATAAACAAATTCAATGTTAATACAACGTAAAAACTGATGCAAATTATTAACATTACCGACGCTCAATTTAACGTCGTAAAAAATTGAACGTAAATCGGACAAAAATCGGATAATAACCCTTAAATATCATCGAATTTGTCTTCGATTTGTGTTTTATATTGCAGACACAAACATGTTTTATTCCTATAGTGTTAAAAGATTTTAACATCCTTCAAATATTAATTTTAATATGCTAAACAGTTATATATGTTAGTTTTGTTTTAAAAATGAAGATGGTTTCAATTTAATTGTTTATATAGAAGTTTATTAAGCTTAAAACATAATATTTAATTTGAACCTTTTTTTTAATATTCTCACACAAAACATTTCAACCCTCCAATTAAGGCCAATATAACCAACAACAAAATAAGTTATAAGTTCATCATTTTTTTTTTCAAATTTAAAGTCCACAATGTTAAATTTTTCCTAGAATATGAGATTAACTGGGTTATGTGAATGACTATAAAACTGAAGAATTGACTGGCTAGCCTAAGCCATGCTACAAAAATTTGGTTGGAATGTAAAAATTAGGTTTGAGTGTATTGCCATAATTTGGATGACACATGCTTTAGTCGAAGATGGCTAATAAATGTCTAGGACCATATGTGTTTGCCAAGGAGTGATGGGCTATGATTTAAGAAATGATGCTTGAAACAATAGTCATTAATAATTGTGACCATCTCTTCTAAAATGGTTCAAAATATATTAAATGACTCCTCGATTTTTAGAAATAGGTAAGTGAGCTCAAAATATGTTCACTTTTCCTTCAGGTTGGTTTTTAAGGTATATTTGATAATCTAGTCCTCTTGTATAAAAATTTGTATAAACTCTACTACTTTAACTTTCTTCTATATAATAGTTGAAAATTCACCTTCCATATTTATATTTAATGTACAACATAAAACTAAATCTCTAAAATTTTAGTATGTATGACTCTAGTTAGAAGTTTCTTCATTAAATCATCTCATATTCATTTAAAGTTGACTCATATCCTACGTGACTACCTTTAAAGTCAAAAACAACATCATTAAATGATACATATATGTTCAAACAAATTAAGCATGTGTGTTATACGAGATTATCATTTTAATTCAATATCTATTACTTAATGTGTGAGTAATGATGATATCAATGGTGAATAGTTGACTCATATCTCACGTGATTACCTTTAAAGTCCACAATAACATCATGAAATGATACAAATGAAGATTTGACTCTCCATTAGGCATGGCTTAAATGTTCATGCCTTTAATCAATGTAGAGAATAAAATTGATGGGTCCTCTATGCATAATTTGTGTGTATCACTTGTATTAGGCTAATATGACATAAGACTATATGGTTGCCATTAGTCTGAGTTAGAGAGTTTGTTTCAAAAAAAATTAGTGAACATTACTTGGTTCAGGACCTTTATTAAACATACAAATGATTTGTGATCAAGTAATATACTCTCATATAAAGAAGTCTTATTTTAATTATAAAATTTGACATTTGAAGATTCTCACGTGACTTAATCTTCTTGATGACATAAATATTATAGTGAAATATTAATTTGAGGGTCATTCCATGTATTGCTTTTAAGAATATATTGGTATGATTGATAGGATCACCAAGATCCTTACCGCTGTGAAATAGCCATTATAAATGGTTATTTGGAAAATAATGCTTTTCCATGGTGATTTGCTTGAAACATCACCACTTACTAACTTGTTTATTATATTTAAGATTTAGGGATTTAGTGATTTTTCATCTAATTTCACAAACTTGAATGAATTGAATACTAAGGATATGTTTGAGACAGTTTTATGTCTATTTTGCATTTTAAATCACTACCACAGTTCTTTTTAGAGAACTTCTTTGTGCTTGCTTTCTAGAAATTTATGCATTGGAAGTTACTTTTTGAACCAGTGCTAAAGTGCAATGGTTGAATGAAAGTTGTCATCTGATTATATATATATATATATATATATATATATATATATATATAATTTTCAGTGCAACTTTCTAAAAAATTACTTTCTCTACCACAATTGTACAATTACATTTTTAAAAAACTGTCCGACCACCCCAACAGAAAACAGTCCGACCACCCCAACAGACCCTAGTTGAACCTTATATTCCCACCAATACATGCAATGCTAAAATTAATAGGTATTTCAATCTTTTTATTACAAAACTAACCATAAAAGGTCCTAAAGAACATTGTGCGTAGCCTTCTTTCTATTGCATCAAAGCCACCCAATAGTTCACATAGCTTTTTACAAATAAATGATGTAGCATATTTTCAAATTGCCATTTAGGTGATTTGAAACCTATTGTATCTTTTTAGAAGCTTTTTTTTTTCCTTATTAAAAAAAACAGAGCGGAGGCTACTTCTATAATTTATTAACAAAGCCACACACATCCTCTACCTCCTCCCACTTTCTTCCCCCAAACCCTGCCCCCCATGCGGCTCCATCGCCGTCCCCTTCCCTCTAAGCACCTCCCCTTCCTGCGGGGATCCCACATACTCCATCCGCTGCGCCTCCAACTCCTCCCTCTTCCTTGACACCCTATCCTCCTCCTATCCCATCTCCTCCATCTCCCCCTCCTCCCAATTCCTCACCATCTCCCTCCTCCCAATCCCCACATCCAACTCCGCTTCCTCTTGCTCCGCCTCCGATACTCCCTCCGGCGGCCTCCTCCTCAACTCATCCTCCCCCTTCAACATCTCCTCCGCCAACTCCATCTTCTTCCTCAACTGTTCCCAATCCCTTCTCCTATCCCCTCTCAATTGCTCCGCCTCCAGCCCCTGTCACACCTACCTCAACTCCTCCTCTGATTCCGCTGCAGCTGCGTGCAGGGGATCGCCGATCTGCTGCGAGTTCCAAGCCGGAGGATCTTCCACGGCCTACGCGCTTAGAACGAACCCTACGGGATGTAGCGCGTATCGGAGCTTCGTGGATTTGGATACAGGCAGCACGCCGGTGGAGGAGTGGGGCAGGAAGGAAGGGGTTGCGCTCGCTTGGGTCAGTCCGCGGGAGCCGGTCTGCGGGAGCCAGGCCGACTGCGAGGATGGAGCGAATGCTACGTGTGCCGTGGATCCGCAATCTTCTGCTGGATCGACGGTCAGGAGGTGCTTCTGCAATGAAGGGTTCCGGTGGGATTCAATCGCCGGCTCATGTGCCTATAGTAAGTGGCTTGTTTTGATGATTTTAAGGCTTTGTAGAAGATATTCTTCTTATGTTTTTCAGTCAAATTTTTTTTGATTTTCAGTATAAACTTGGGAGAAGTTTGATTTGCTGCTAATAAAACCTTAGAACTAATGAATCTGAAGCTCTGCTGATGGTTTAGTTAAGAAAATTAGAGGCAAACTCAATACAAAGAAACCAATAATAAATTACAGCAGCAGAGCTAAATAGTTTGATTAGTTTGACTAATTTTACATTTCAGTCTTAATTATTACCTGATTAACCAATCTGCTTGATGTGTCATTAACCAATTAAAACTTCTAATATAATATTTAATTTTAACATTTATTCGGAAAGATCATAAACTTTGAACTGAATAATGAAAATTAAAATAAAAGACTTTGATTCTCGAAAGTCAATCAAATTTAAAATCAATTTTTTTCCCTTCCGAAAGTCAAAGGCGAGATTTTCTTGCTAGCATGCCCAAGAAAATAATTTTGTTGTTCTAAAATATAGAAGGAAAAATTATTCCATACGGTCGATCTCCACCATTGATCACAGTCTTTTTATTAAAAAAAAATTAAAATGGAGCCCACCGAAATAAATCTTCGCTGTGATCAAGGGTGGAGATCGGACACCATATGCATTTCTGCATGCGTGTCCACATGAAATAATTTTTCAGAAGGAAGATTTCTCATTTATTATATCTTATGTTTAAACTTTAGTTTATATCTATATATGCCATCATGAATAAAATGTATTTCACATTTTTTAAGTTAAACTAGTAATATGTTTTATAGGATGGGAAAGATTTGAGTGGTGTAAATATAAAAAATAAAATTTAGGTCTTAAATATCTAAATACGTAGGAATTCAGTGGTATGTACCAGTGGTTTATTGATTTGGACTAATACGCCTTCATTCGGTCCAAATTTCCTCTTTATTTTAAGGTTACTTCTATGAAGATTTTTGAATTTGTTCATACATTCCTCCTTATACTTCCTCATTAGTAGTGAATATAATGATTAATCTGGATTTAATTTTGATTTAAAGTGGCGTTTTATGATATTAAGTTATAATTCATCTTTAAATTTCAATTCTTCCTATGCGTTAGCTAATAAGAAGTTTGCTTGTACGACTTTTTCATTATTTGAGATGATTGCAATTTTTTATAAAATTAGTTGTAAGATTGTGTTGGAGAGTATTTTTATCCAAGAAATTAGATAATAAACGAAATTGCGGTGTTAGTGTGAAATGTAAAAGATACCCTAAGTGTCCGTTTGAGGCGGCAATGCGGCACCGCACTGCAGTTTTATTTGTTAAAGTAAACCACGTTTTGACTGTTTTTTCAAAAATCTCCAGATTTATCTGTTTAGGCAAACTATTTTTGACAGCTTTTTAAAAAATCTGCCGTTCAAATTTGTGTTTTTCCACTGGTCCTGACTAGTTGTGGTAGCAGCTTTCTAGATGCTGTAAAAAAAATTAGAGTAGTCACCATAACGTTTTGAATATCAGGTTATTTTTCTGAAGCTTCATAACCGATTTTTAATAAGTTGCAGCTTCTCCAAACATATCCTAAGTCTACTCTTAACTACTAAAAACAAAAAAAAAACAAAAAAAGTAGATATTCTACAAAATTGGGAGACAAGAAATCAACTCGTTTTGCTTTTCAAATGTCAGAATGTCAAGCATATTAGTACCATGCCTTCTTAGTCATTGCAGTAAGCTGCCCAGCATTTTCTTTGTAGAGTCCGCATCCTCATTTTAGCTAATTCAGAAAAAAAAAAATTAACCCATGATAGTATGAAACAATTAATACAAAATACACATTAACAAAGTAATGCTTATTGAAAATAAATAAAGAATGAAAAAATCACAATGTGGATTATAAATGTAAGATAATCCTAATGCTAATCAAAGAGAAGGTGGATTCTGCAAATAATGTTTTTTTTATGGTTTTTTGTAAATAAATTTATGAATCGAAGGGGCATAGAATGCTATTTTTAAGAAGGGTGGCAAATTCTAAGTGTATTTTTTTCAATAGGCACAATAATATAATTACAAATATGGGTAAAACCTATTTTATTGGACGGTTCTGATTACTTTATCATCCTCATTTTTGCATAGACATCACGGGTTGCACGGATTGCAGTAGCTCCAAGAATCATGCTCCTCTAATTGCAGGTAATCATCTTATTTCTCTTTACATAATCAGCCTCCTTTCACAATTAAATTATTATGATGCAATTTACGATTTTCATTTTCGTCCAAACCGCTTTGTATTGACCGAAGTTGTTCGTTTTGGGTCCCTACGCGCGCCTTCTTTGAAATTGGGGCATATAAATTAAGTTCTGATAGTTTGAATTAACATTATTTATTATTTAATCTTAAAAAATATATTAAAATAAAACTAGGTGTAAAATGGAAAACTTTACATGTAGATATCATTCAATTTTTATGTATTTATGTATCTAACATATATAGTTTGATTTTTTATATCTATAACACTTTCCTTATATATAAAAAAAGAATATCTTATTTTTAAATTGTTAATAATAATAACATTTTTTATATGAAATATAAAATATTGAACCATATAAATTTAATGATCATAATATAGGCATCAGATGTACAAATACATAAAACTTATTTAGAGCCCGTTTGGGGCAGCCTATAAGTGCGGGAGAGTTTTTAAAAACGTTGCGGTATTGTTTGGATCGTGCGTTTTTCTCACTTATCTGAAAACGTGGTTTCATTTTTACACTAAACGCAGGTCGAGGGTCGAACCCATCGGTCGATCTGCGGGCCTTGTTTCAGACCCTTAATATGTATGTGAATGTCCCTATCAAATATTGGAGAATTTACCTACTCAACACCCAATTCTTATGCATTTATATATCTCACACCAAAATTTTCATTTTTACCCAATTCAATGAGCATTGAAATTCATAATTTGATGTATAAATAGGATGCTTGTAAAAATTAAAATTTTGGTGTGAGATACATAAATGCATAAAAATTAGGTGGTAAGTATTTAAACTTCCGTAAAATATTACACTCTAAATTTTAAAATATATCCAAAACTATTTCCAATAAATAAATTTCCCACATTTTGAAAATTTTTAAAATTAAAATAATATTTATGCACAATAAACTCTAAATTGTCTAACCGGCCAATAAAGCCGAAAGACCTTGACTAAACTGTCATCCTTGGCTTCCCCACAGGTCTCATCTCCGGCCTCAGCGCGGCGGCGATTGTCTCTGCGGCCGGCTTCTTCTTCTCCCGCCGGCAGCGCCGTATTCGCCGCGCTCGCGAACGCCTCGCTCGAGAGCGCGAGGAGATCCTCAACGCCCACAACCCCGGCGGCCGCACCGCCAAAATCTTCTCCGGCCGCGAGCTCCGCCGCGCCACCTCCAACTTCTCCCGCGATAACCTCCTCGGCTCCGGCGGCTACGGAGACGTATACCGTGGCTCTCTCCCCGACGGCACCCCCATCGCCGTGAAATGTGCCAAGCTCGGCAGCACCAAATCCACCGACCAAGTCCTCAACGAGGTCCGCATTCTCTCCCAAGTCAACCACCGCTCCCTCGTCCGCCTCCTCGGCTGCTGTGTTGACCTCGCGCAGCCTCTCATGGTCTATGAGTTTATACCAAATGGAACCCTTTTTCACCATCTCTCAAAGGGCAGCCTTTCGTGGCGCCTGCGGCTTTCCATCGGGCATCAGACGGCGGAGGGGCTCGCTTATCTTCATTCCTCCGCCGTGCCGCCGATTTACCACCGGGATGTGAAGTCCAGTAATATATTGCTTGATGAGAAGCTGAATGCCAAGGTGGCGGATTTCGGGCTTTCACGGCTGGCGGAGGCTGATCTCAGCCATGTCACCACCTGCGCTCAGGTAAAGCTCCTCCTCTGCTTTTGATTTTGAAATCCACATTCTTTTCAATTTGATGCCAGATGAGAATGAGTTTCATTGTAGTGCACAAGTACTCTGTGATCTTGTTCTGTGGAAAAATATATCTGAAAATCAAATCAAGTTATTGATTCAAGGGATCAACATACAAGCTTTGCTTTTGCAGGGAACTTTGGGGTACCTCGATCCGGAATACTACAGGAACTATCAGCTCACAGATAAAAGCGATGTTTACAGCTTTGGAGTAGTCCTGCTGGAGCTGCTTACATCAAAGAAAGCCATTGATTTTGGTCGCGGCCCCGAAGATGCTAATCTGGCAGTCTACGTTCAACAGAGGGTGGATGATGAACGGCTTATGGATGTGGTGGATGAGAAGTTGAAGAGTGGAGCGAGCCAAGTTCAGCTGGACTCAATGAAAGCTTTGGGGTTCTTAGCCATGGGGTGCTTGGAGGAGAAGAGGCAGAACCGTCCCTCCATGAAGGAGGTGTCGGAGGAAATTGAGTACATTATAAACATTGTCGATGGAAGTGTTGCCGGAAACAATCAAGATGAGGCTAATTTGAAGGACTTGTACTAGCAAATGATTTGAATTGGTTGGTTTGGTGTCTTTTTGTAATATGTGAGTTTGTTTTCTTATAGTTGCGTGAGTGATGTTGGATGTAATTGGAAGTTTGTATGTTAGATTATATGATAGTTGAATGTAAATCTGTCTGATGAACCGTGCCCAATGAATAGAAAGTTGGACCGATGAGAGTGGTCGAGAGAAGGAGAGAAATGGGAGAGAGAGGAGAAGGACTTCTCTTGGCCGGCGGGGAAACGGGGTGTTCCCAGGCTCGTGGACTTTAATCATGAAGCTTGATCTTACAAGTGTGGGGGAGCAAAAAAGGCCCTTTTACATCATGAAACCATCTTATTTATAGAAAAGGAGGGGTAAAAAGTATATAAAAATTACATATTCAGCCCTGTATTAAAGAAAAGAAGCAAATGACAGTTTAGTCCCTTTTAGCTTGACTGTTGGACAGCCTCAAGATTCGTGATGGAACTAATCGGTCAGGTGAGAAAACGGGTCAGGTGACGGACGTGAAGTGGTCAAAGGAAAAAAACTTAGCCGACCGACTGACATGAGGCCGCCGACTGAAGTTTTTTTGTCTCTGACGATGACATGTTTTGGCCCGGCGAGGTTTTAGCGTCATTTTATGTCTATACATATTAAGTTCCCCAATTTTCTTACTCATTGGTAGCAACATTTGTAATAAGGACAAAGAAATTCTTATAATTAAATTATAAATCGTTAATGATACTCCTTACTAAGCGCTCTTCGCGCTCTATTTTTATTGTCATCTGTTGGGTCTGTCATTTTGGACTTTTTCCATCGGGAAAAAAGGTCGGTCATCGGGGGAATAATTGGACAACAGAGGTAGAGTCGATCGTTAGAAAAAGAGTTTTAGAATTGTGACATGCCTAAAAATTACCTACTTTTTATGTACATTTTAACCTCAATTTTAATAATATTGCACTTTAAAGAAAGATATTTTGCATGTTTTTTGTTCCGGGTATAAAACTTGGAGTTTTGGAAAAAATAGTGCAATTTGGAGTCAAATTGAGCAAGAAAAAAATTTCTGAGCTGATGCATTTTGATATGTTTTTCTATGTTCAATCTCCTTTACATTTATCATATATTTTTCAATGGAATTAAACTTTAAAAAAAAAAGTTATTTTCATATTTATCTTGTAGGTATAACACTTGGAGCGGAAACGGGACGGGACGAAATAGAGCGAAACGATGCGAAGCGGGTTTGCGGCCACCAGGGTGGCACCTAGGCGCCAGAAATGATGCCAAAACGGCGCTAGCCTCGCCAAAACGGCTCATGAGCGCCCTAAATAATTGTGGACGGGTTCTAGACGCCCCAAGGAGTTTTGGCACTTGGGAAGACACTTGTTGACATTTCAAACTCTTAGAACTTCCAAGAACATCCAAAGGTTTTGGATATGATAGAAGATGTAGATTTCTACATTTTCTAGAGAAATTGGTGAGGGATTTTGAGAGATATTTGAAAGAAATTATAGAAACTTTGTGTGCATCAGTAGAAGCCTTTGTTGGAAGGATTTTCATATTTCTTACAGAGGAAAAAACTAATTATTGTGTTCTTCATTATCATATAATTGTTATAAACACTTTTCTAGTGAATTTGTTTTGTTTTAAATGAATTTTCTGTTGTGTTTTCTCCATGCTTGGTGAGTAGTTTACCTTACTCTTTTGCCTTGTGATGAGATTTAATCATGTGGGGATTATAATGGTTTAAAAATTTCTTTTATTCCAAAATTAAATTGTGATGGTATTTTTACCAGATGGTATTTTTACCAGTTTTTAATTTACTTTACAAACTGATCACTTGTAATGTTAAAATTCATTACGAAATATAATGACCAAGGAAGACTATGATTTCACCCTACTAGTGAGTACTACACTAATCCTTGGATGAAGGGGATGTCACGTATAAAGGGGAGTGCAAATAGATAGGGAGATAAGTTTTGATGGGCATAGAATTGATGATTCTAAAGTGATAGACTAAAACCTTTATCAATTTGGTCTTAGTTCAGAGTCTAAGTCCCTGATTGGTCCTATAGAGAGGGCACAGTGGGTAATCTGGAAGTGAGAGACTAGAATCTACTTAGCACAACCATACAATCAGGAACTTAACTTTAGCTTAGCCAATGTTCATTATGCACTCGGGAGAGGGTAAAGAATGTTTATGCTTATATTTGTCACAAAACCATATTTTAACCAATAAACATTCAATTCCAACACAGATTATGACCTCATTGCAAGGGGAAAGGGAATTTTTATAATTTAAGAACTTTTCAAAATTTATCCATTCTCTTTAAATTAGATCTTTATTTAATTTAGTTAACTTTAATTTTATAGTAAACTAGTGAATTTAAGAAAACCAAACTTTTTGGAATTCCAAACTAAGACTTAATAGTAGTAAATTAGAATTTATTCTACTGGATTTCTTAGCTCGCTTCTCTATGGGATCGATATAGAGGTTTTATTGAAAGTCATGTATTATTTGAAACGTGTGTAGATCACATAGTGTGTGAAATATAAATCAATTCTATGTTCTATATCATATTCATTTTGCACACTCGCCGCCAAAGGAAATTGGGTCAAGTTTTTGGTATGGAAACTAAATAACCGCATAATTGCGGGTTGGGCCAAATTGTCCACACCAAAGTGGAATTTTAGGGATGTTCCTCAAAGAGGACTCTTAGAATTGCTTGCCCTGGATTGGAATCTTAAAGTTGTACACACCTTGCGGGGCTTACCTCTTCCAGCTATTAATACTGTGATTTGGGAACAGGACGATCGTTTACGCACCCCCTCGTGGAGCATGTCACTTTTGGGTCTCATAGACCTCTGACGATCGTTAAAGACCTCGTTGCTATGAGTTAACATTATAAATTGGACCCTCGCGGAGCTTGTCGTTGCCGGGTGCCAATATGTCTCATAGGATTATGGCGATCGATAAACACCTCTTGCGGAGCTTGTCGTTGTTAGGCATTAACATTGTGATTTGGGCATAGGACGATTGTTTAGGCACCACTCACGGAAATTGTTGTTGTCAGGTGTTAACTTTGTGATTTGGGAACAGGATGATCGTTTATGCACTCTCCATAGTGATAATCAGAACGTAATATTCTTTGTCAGGCATCCAACATTTCAATTCAGAACTAAGCACATTCAGATCAGGTATCACTTCTTTCGATCATTGCTAGAGGATGAACAATTGTTACTTAAGAAGATATGTGAAAGGAAGAACCCTGCGGATATGTTGACTAATGTTGTTACACTTGAGAAACTAAAGTTGTACTCAACTTTAGTTGGTTTTCCAAATGGGAGATTTTTTGAGTATTGTGGTTCCTGTTGACAGTTTCCTCTGTTTGGCGGTTATTCAAATTTTTTATTCTTTCCTCTATTAAAGGATCTCGCCTGTGTTTTTTTTTTGTTTTTTGGATCTCGCCTACTCTTCTTCCCGTAAACGGAATCACGCCCTTCTCCTCATTCGCGTCTATAAGAGAATACCCTCTCACTGCACTATGATGTGTCGCTCTCTCTCTCCAGTTCGAAGGGAGAAGGAGTCACAGGTGGTTGAGCCTATGGAAATCTCTCAGTTTTTGCGTGAAGAAGATTTCAATGAAGAGACCTTACATAAATACCCTCAATTTGATGAATCTTAGTTTGTTAATTTTATAGTTTGTGATCTCCATTATTTTGTGATGTTATCTTCTATTTGTCAATCTTTTTTGAGAGTTGAAGGATATGAGCTTAATTTTCTCCATACTGCATGTGATACCTGGGGCCTAACTCATGGGAAGTTATGATATGTCTAAAAGTTGGTTTCTCATATTAATGAGCATAATTCTTGTATACAATATTTTAGGTCAACCATTGAATAAAAGGTTGTGGATTATCAGAAATAGTTTCTAATTGATTGCACCAAACAATCACATGCTAGAAAATTCACCACGGTAGAACAAAAATTTTAAATCTAAATGTTACACTAAAATTCCACCCACAAATAAATTAAAGAAAAGAATATAAGTGATACTAAAACTTTGATGTGAAAATTTGAACAAAATTTTAGATATTTAAACACCCTAAAAATGCAACTATGTATCTCAAAAAATGATTTATAGCGACTTTTAAGTTACAATTTGCATCAGCCATAAGATGATCCATCTAAAAGAGTTGATCATAGCTATTCTAAATAGAGAATATGCAAGTTTAAAGTTAACATACAATGATACAAACATATATTCAATATCATGCTTTTGGATACCATAAAAAAGGATTGCATAAAGATTCAGTTGCATCCCTCATCACATATGTAAATCATCACATGTAACCAAAGATTGTATCTCGTTTCCATCATGTAATATATCTTATGATATTTAGTAAAGAAAGCAATCAATTCAAAACCTTCACATCAAGACAAATCGCACTTGCACACTTTGTTAATATCTATAGTCTTTCCAAGATCAATTATTAGCCATAGAATGGACAAATTATATGCTTTCGCTGCAAAATCAGCAGAAATGATGCGAAATGCTTTAAATTTGCATTCAAACCCAAAAAATTGGCATCTGACAGCATATATTAATCCTCCTAAAAGTAAAAGGAAATCAACCTAACAAAATCAAATTTATTGATATACCGGAAGTCAATGATACTGATTTGTATTAAAGGAATTATCAATGAAACATAAATGTGACCATGATTTATGTTCCACGATGGAATTAAGTGAGAGTATGAGAAATACATTTTGAGTATAGATGAATATACTATAGTGTTTGAATGAATTTGAAAAAATAGTTATTACTTATGGCTTAAATAAGCATAGAAGTTGTGTTGTGATGACGCGTAAGGGCAAATGGTCTTTATTAGCCTGAGTGCAATTTAGTAATTTAATATTTATTTTGTTTAGCGTAAATAGGATTAATATACTTAGTGTTGGGATTATGTAAATTATTATTGTGAGTATTAGGGTTAAGATTTGGGAGAAATTTCCTACCTCTCGAATTGTAGGAAGTGTGAGAGATAGTATGTCTCTCGAACTGTTTATTTTATATATTTGTGTCCTATCAAATTGGTATCTGAGCAATAAAATAAAAAAGTTGGTATCATAGTAGAAAAAGCGTGAGCAATAAAGTTGTTACTCACAATAGCTAGAAAAAGGAAGATGGATCATAGCTTGGAAAATGAAGACATGATCATGAACGCGATATAGAGGCGTCGAGACGGGAGCACCCTTTTAGACCGAGCCTCATGGATAAAGTCGCGGCAGTCGCATGGGATCACGACTACAGAAGGATTGCATCAATCCTTCAGACCGAGCCTCATGTCTGTGTGACCCAAATCGTGATTGGAGCTAGAGGGGAAGCAACAACGGGAACGATGTCTCTACTGTGACCAAACTTTGTGCTACAGTTGCAACTCTAGAAGAAGTCAACGCGGGATCATGGCCTACATAGATAGAAACTTTTGCCTTTCTTCTCTTTCCACGATGTCCTAACAATACAATAGTGATTTGAGCTTGCTAGGAAGATGGATGGATTGTGATGTCTCCTTAAGGCAGGACTCGAGCTAGCTGGGAACTTTTGAATCACGGGTCTCCTCCCATGTTATTGAAGATTAGGGTGAGAACAGGGTAGCGAGCTTGAGATCTGGCATGCCTTAGTCGTGATACAATAGTTATTATGGTGATATGGGAAGTCGAGGGCAAATCAGAACTTGCGATCTTGTGGTATAAACACAACCTAGACAATGTGGGAAGCCTTCGACAAGATTTCAATATACTGTAATGGTGGTCAAAAAAGCTGAGGCTTTAGAGGAAAAAAAAAAGAAAAAAAAGACGAGACACATCCGATCTGAAAAAATATTAATGATTCTCATCCACAGTGGGGCGATTGGAGTTGAGATTCACAATTCTAGAAGAAATGATGAAGAAGATCATGAAGAGTCACACAAAACCTCCTTTGCTCGCCACTAGATCAATCAACTGCGCTGAAACAAATGTGAGCAGCAGCAACCAGAATAATTTACATGACATCAAGGCAGTGTCACAGCTTTAAGCAGATTGGGAGCCGTGGTATTGAATGAAGGAATTGGGATTCGAGCAGCAATATGTGAATGGAATTGCACGACATCTTCAAGTTTGAGATGAGCAACAGTATTCAGATCGAAACAACGTGCAATTCGAGGATGAAGAAGATCGCTTCGAAGGACTTTGGTCTGGGATGAGAAACATGATGGGTGGGACCCCGATGAAGGGTTGTATCCATTGAATTAGTGCTTCAAAAGCCTTCTAAGTGGAAGAAGTTTCAAAAGTAATGATGGAAACGAAATAGGTGGACACAAGCAAGGGAGCTCGTAAGGGTTTAATTTGAACACTACTGAGTGTTCAGGTGGGAGAAAAGATGATTGTGCTTTGCGATGATCCCAATTTATGCAAGATATTGGTGACTTTGAGAGTTATGATGAGCACGATTCAGGATGCAAGGCTGAGATTTGTGATCGAGTTGCATAACTTAGAAGAGGCACATGATACAAATTTAATAGAGATTCTCGATATCAATAAGATACCAGAATAGTTGCTTAGGGTGGTAGTGTTCTTCCAGATTGACTTGAAGCAGGGTGTCATCAGATTCGGATGTTGTCAAAGGATGAGCACAAGACGATAGAATCACTAAGAGTTTTTGATTAAATGAAACAATTTGTCAGATAATGACACCCCATGAATACTTACCTCTCAAATTATAGATGTTTATCCTTTATTTCTATATATTATTATAATATTTACTTTAAAAAAGCAAAATATTTATACCCTACTTTCTATAGAGAAACCCATTGGTTTGCCTCACAGAAACAGGTACAACAATAAATCCCCAGCATAAGTCAACATTTTTGTAGGAAATGTCGTTTGTACAAGCACATCTCTGGTAAAGAGAAAGGGACACAGACTCTTGCTAAGAATTAAGCTTAAGAAAAAAATGGCACAGAAAAATCAAGATGCTCGAGTAAACTCAAATCCAACCAAATTTCAACCATGCTTTATAAGTTGGGCAAAAAAATGAAATATATTAAAGGTTTCTACAATATATGGAAAATACATGCAAACGTCAGAAAACACAGCAGCAACAAATAAAGCAAACCCATAATAATCCACAAATAAACCAACTCAATTAGGCCTGGGAGTAGCCCACTCAACTCTGAGAATGAGATTATCATAACCATACCCATTCAGCTTATTAATGGCCTTCTCCGCATCCTCTCGGTGGACGAAGTTTACAAACCCAAACCCTCTGCTCACCGAAGTTTTCTGATCCACAGCAACATAAACACGGCTCACCGGACCGAAGGTGCGGAAAAGTTCGTGAAGGTCGGGCTCCCTTGTGTCCTCAGAAAGATTCGTAACACGCACCGAATTCTCGTCATTTCTGCGCCTCATCTCGGTGCCGCTCCTATCAGCACCTGCTCTCATGCCTGGAGGAACATAGGTCGACTTGCCGGCAGCACCTGTAGAAGTTTCTGCTGTTGGAGGTTTGTCGATGTAGGTATCGGTTGGCTGGGCCAGATCCTTGTAAGGACATTTTGAAGTCCAATGATCACCCTTTTTGCCGCATGTCCTGCAGACCATGAGGACAGCCCCAGCTTTCACCATGGACGCGAGTGGGTCTCCGGAGGACTTGTGTTCTTCCACTTTGCTACCTGCATTTTGAGATAATTCCATGAGCATATGAAAATTTTTCAAGCACTTTAATTAAGCAAGATTTGCATGCATACCGCTCAATTCTTATGTATTCACACATCAAACACAAACATCAAATCTTATCTCTATGCCACCTTATTTATGCATAAAAGGGAGTATTTCACTCTTTAATAGCTAAAATAGTGATATTATTTTTGTGATATAAAAGACTTGAGTGGTATAAATGAAAAAGGTAAATTTAGATGTTAGTTGTGTAAATACGTAGGAATTGGGTGCTATGCATGTAAATTAAGTGAAAATGGGCATTTCGGCATTTTAAATAGCTCCATAAGAAAATACTTGCACAGGTTCACAACAATCATGGGAAAAAATACCTACAAAGAAATATCTCATGAACTTCGTTGGTCAATAGATTAATTTGATCACGAAGTTTTATTATTATTAATATTATTATTTATTTAATCACTAAGTTATGACATTGAATATCAATTCACTTTTCTTGGCAATCACTGAATAAACTAGAAGGTGCATGGAAAAAGATCAAAATAATTTTCATGAATCTAGTCATTCAGTTATTTGCAGCGACGCAGAAAATTTTGAAACTGCAGCCTGACCTCCTTTAAGACAGTATTCAAAACATATCCCCAAATGTAAGTATCTGAAGTCATGAAAACTTTTTTTTTTTATCTTATTCATCACTACAGTTTTTGCATAACTACAAATTTTTAATATGCCAAAAGCTATCTAATTCAAATAGCTGGACTGGGTTGCTACTAATGCAGAAAAAAGGATCATATTTGCGTCAACAGATAATTGGTTCTCTAAACCGTGGCAGCAATATACAAATTTTTTAGGACTATTGGGCTCCGGATTTGGATGGCAATTTTTCAACATTTTCCTTATGTATTTTCATGCCACATTATAACTTGTATCGAAATACACTGACCTAACAATCAACATAGGCATTAAAAGCATTAAAGCCAAGAAATGAACATAAAAATATTTTCTTAATATTTCAAAGAACACGGCAAGATGTACTCTAGTATAAATGTAAGCTCATCCTACATGCAATACAAAATGTACCCAAACTGATAGTAGTGCTTTGCTAAGTCAAAAAAAAAAAAAAATTTAAGTTCTCTCTCTCTTTAAAAGTGATGCAGGTCATAGTCTGATTGCAATCTTAATTAAGAAAATTTCATACACACAATCAAGCAAAGCATATTGCTTCCACGCAACAGAATGAGTTTATGTTATGGTTTTAGGCTTGAAGCTAAATTGACAACAAATCATAAAAAACCCATACAAAAAATTCATCAAAATAAATTATACTACAATGCACACTAATGTCATGGCATTTTTCACAAGAAAAAGTAACCCCAATCATGGTGAAAGCAGGTAGGAGTTGATTATGTCCATATGAGAGAGGCGGTGCAATGTACATGACCAGTGAAAAATTAAGCATGCAATGGCTAGAACACAAAAACTTCCATTATGGTGAAGTTAATAATTGATGAAGATTTTATAACTACAATTACTACTTCCAAATTAAAATAAAAGAACTATGAGACTGAGAATTTGATTTTGGAAAGTCATGAAGTTATATAGCCACATATGGAAGAGAAAATTTTGTTAATCGAGGTAAGTTTAAATGGATAAGTAGGCTCTTAGAGAATGCCTTATAAAAGAATCCATGATAAATATCAATTAGAAGATGATATTGATAAAACATATTATACTTTAATTTTAAGTAACATATGATTTACCAATAAACAGCACAACTTAAGGTAGTGATGCCAGAATGCCCTTACATTAGAAGACGAACAAGTCATCTAAAGATATAATGATTTAAATAAAAGATGGATGAACTTAAAATGAGAAAACATATTTATCTCAAAATAAAAGTTGTTAGAAAGGTAGAAACTTTAAATTTAATTCAAACTTAATATGAAATAATATGGCTATTAGTTTCGAAAATATTTTAATAAATATTAAATCCTAAGAGCACATTAATGAATCATTACACAACGTGACTTGATTTTAATGTTTAGAGACTCATTAACGAAAAAAATAATAATAAATTCAATAAAAAATTCTAATCTGACATGCAATAATTATAAGCTAGATAAAAATTTTAAAAATATGGTAGAAAGTAAAGCCAAAACTGCAATTATTTACGATCTCATAATAAAAAAGCTACTTCAAATTAAAAAAGAGATGAACAAATAGAAGAAAGAGTTCATCTAAAAACTTCAATAAAGTTAAATGTATGAAAAGTAAAAAAAATGGAAGTAGCTAAACATAAAAACATCAAAGAAAAAATGATAATAGTATTTTTTATTATTTTTTTAAAGATGAAATGCAAGGAAGAAAATATTTCTTGTTTTTTTTTCTTTTTTGTTGCTTAATATCAAATAGGAAAGATAGTATAAAGTAACAATTAAGATCTAAGAAGTTCAAATAGATATCAAAGTCATTTGACTAAAAATCATTTCAGATGAAATTTTTTTTATTAAAAGGAGGTCAAATTATTAGATATAAATTTTTGTGTTAATATTTAAAAATGAACAAGTAAGAAATTATGATAATTATAAAAGAAACAAACTACCAAGTCATACAATGAAAAAAATCATCACATGTATTTCTATCTTGAAAAAATTTATTGAATGCCATAAGAATTGCTAAGGTGCATTAAGAAGAAAATATAAATGTTGAAGAGTGCTGGGAGGATCTTATTGAAAAATTTTCTCAGGTACAACGTTGAATAGGAAGATCAAGTCAATAAGAGTCCACAAAGAAGGATTATCCATCAACCAAATCGGGAGGAAAAAAATTTGGACAACTAAATGGCAATAAGAACAACAAGCTAAAGATGGCTTTCATTCTGTTTCATTTTTTCTTGGATAAATAGGTGTATTTTGACTTTAAATTTAAACTAACTTCTTTTGTGGTACTAGCTTATGAAAGATAAAGTTGTTCCGTATTGATGAAGTTAGCTGAAGAGAAGATAAGAACAATTTATAATAAACTCTTGTAATTTGTTCGAAAGTAAATAGGTTATTTTATAAAACAAAATTAATTCTAACCCTCTAAAAATTTCATTTATGTTTATTTATAACAATCAAGAAAACTTAAGCAAACTATAGTTACAATTATAAACATCAAGTGGAAAAAAATAAATAAAAAAAGAGAAATTTTCCACAACAATAAAACCCAATAAACTCTAAAATTAAAGACTTCCATCATCACGTTCAAAAGATAATGCCGGACCACCCTTGTTTTACAAAAACATCTATACACTCCAAAACTCTTTGCACATCCCATCATAGTTTGGTATTTGAACACTAGTTCCACCCCGCGGGAAAAATATACTCATCATTGAAAAGATGGGAAAGGTACTATTCACGGTGGCCTGTGGAGCCTAGGGCCTACAAATATGAGAAAAAATTTACAATTGAAAGAAAAGAAAATATGCTCACCATGAAAGAATAAAACAGAGCCATCATTAAGGAACACAATGACCGCAATGAAGGACTAAATGGCCATGATGAAGAAATAAATGGCCATGATAATGATTATCTTTAATACTTATTGCTAAGATAGCACCAACATCTGCTCTACCAGTGCATGTCAAGATAGAAAAAAAAATATCCAATAAAAGTAAACAATCTATCAAGGAAAATCCATTAACAAGAGAAAAGCTACAAAGAATACAGAGTAGAGAAGAAGATCTTCCCATCAAGATAGAAGAAAAGTTGAGTTGCCTTACACCATGTCAAAAGATTCAAAGGTGAGATAATTAAAATTGGTATGAGCATCTTGAAACATATTTTATGATTTATGATTATCAAGATAAAAAAATACATTAACTCCTTTGAAATTGTCCTCACATGCTGCAGTATGATGGAATTTAATACATAAAAACTATGATCTGTGAACATTAACACAACCAGAATTTAAAAGCTTATTAAAAACTCAATTCTAACCCATCGGAACAAATAAGAAAATTGAGTTAGATGTTAAAATTTAAATAAAAAAAATGTACAACGGTACAAAAATACACAATGAAATTAAAAAGATAGGCAATTATTTTAGAACTACTGAAAATTTGTATTCAAGAAATATGTACCAAGCTTTCATGAACTAGTTCACGCATAATTAAAGGTTTTTTTAGTTGTTAATGTCATTTAAGCTAGAACAGAAGCTATAGCACTTGATGAAAGAAACAATGTTCCTTTGATTGGACAAATGCCAGCTTTCAACTATTACAAAAGAAGAAAAAAAAGCAAAAGTTAAAGGGTTGTCGATAATTAAACTGATATATATATATATATATATATATATATACCACTCTTCCATCTAAACTAACGCTCATTCTTAATGTCCTTAAGTGGCTCGATTGGTCCTGATTGTGTCATGTTAACTCAGATTAGGTCTAGCTAATCCTAGCTTGGCCTAGTTGATCTAATTCTGACTGGTTGACCTGAGTCAGTTTGAGTGTGCTTTGGTTGGTTGAGATGGGTGTGGAATTGGCTAAAATTAAAATTAAATTAAAACAATTCAAAAGTGAACATAGTTCAATTAAATCAAATTTAAAATTTAAATTTGAGCTATATTTAAATTAAGTTAAAATGAATCCAAATTAAAATTGACAAACTTTAATATAAATTAAAAAAATTAATTTAATTCAACTTAGACATTCAAAATGTTAATTAAAACTTAAACAAAAACTTCAAATTCATTATAAATCAAAATTAAACATAAATATACCTTCATTTAAACTTGAAATTTAAAATTAAATTGAAACCAACTTAAATCTAAACATGAAATTGAAATTAGGCATAACTCAACTCAAATCAAATCTAAAATTTAAGCTAAATTAAATTAAACAAAATTAAAACCTAAACTTAAACAAACTATTGTTGGGAGAGCTGCAATATTTTGATAATGCATACAAGACGCAGTTTTGCCAAACAACAAAAACTAAGGGGCTGCAAGAAAA